CAAGTAAACCATTCCTTGCCTCTCTTCTCTTTAGTAGTTTTCTATAATCCAGGGGCGGATCAAAGGGGGATCCTCGAGCCCAGACCCCCTTTTCATCCGAAAATTCCAATACATTTTCTTTAATGCAGTATTGTACTCAGGCGTTTTTGTACAGTAAAAAGTTATTACTATAGCCCACAGCATATCTCCTAATATCAAATGCACAAGGCCTCAAAATGCCCATGATATTGATCAGATTTCAATCAAATTTCTCTGGAGGCTTACAACACCCTCCCCCCCCAGCAAAAAAAGCTGGGTGGGCTCGCTCTGCTCGCCATGTTCCCCCGCCCTCAACTTCTAGGACTCCCCATTTTAATATTTCCTGATCCGTCCCTGTAATCAACTGTTGTAACAAGTACTAATGTATGCTTGAAATTTTGTTCCCATTTTTATCATAATCATTCGAGTCAATGAGTTTGCGTAGTGTGATTTTTTTTTTAACTCATTGGTAATTTATATTAAGATGGGAATGCTTCTAATGATGAAATAATTTGACTATTTCAGAGGTCGGTAATAGTTTCCTTGGCTGTGGGTCTCGTGATCGTGACCTGCCTCGCCATGCCAGATGACAGTGGCGGCCATGGTGGTGGTGGTGGCGGCTATGATAGCTCCGGTGGCGGAGGTGTCTATAGTGGCTCCATTGGAGGACGTGGTTATGGTGGCTCCAGTGGCGGAGGCGGTTATGGTGGCTCCAGTGGCGGAGGCGGCAATGGTAGCTCTAGTGGCGGAAGTGGCTATTCTGGCTCCAGTGACGGAGGCGGCTATGGTGGTTCCAGTGGTGGAGGTGGCTATGGTGGCTATGATAGCTCCGGTGGCGACGGCGGTCATGGTGCCTCCAGTGGCGGAGGCGGCTACGGCAGCTCCGATGGAGGTTATGGAAAATATATGTAATCATAACGAAATGAGACACACCAATACTAAGTTTCCTCAACTCTTCTTCGCCAGTTTGTGTCTCGTGATTCTTGTGTAGTAATAATAAAACTTAAACGACTGTGAAAATAACTTTGATTTACGCCAACTTCCCATTCCTGACATCAATTACCAAGTGTAGTGTAAGATCAATTAATGGAACACTTGAAGAATTAATTTTATTAACTATACACGTTGTTAAACTTAACTGCGTTTGACATTATATCTAATGATTAAAAAATAAAACTTTATATAAAAATTGAGCTTCCTTTTCAGCAAGTAAGTTTGAGGAAGAAATAATGTAAATAAAGCCTAAAATTCCTATATTCATTTCGTGAATTCTTACGTTTCATACATTTTTCATGGCGACATATAATACACTAAATGTGTAGAATTAAAAAAAATGCATGTCTTGATACTTAACTGGCATGGTAAACCTATAATATCCGACAAACAGCAATGTGCCAGAACTTGGATGGATCAACCACTGCCAGAATTAACTACACCGCTCACTCACTCTCCCCAAACACTTCCTCATGACCCACCCCAGTAAAATTAACTCAGGATTTTAGATATTTATTGCCATTTCTATTCAATGATGTCGTTTAATTCCTGCAATCTTATATGTCAACCCTCAAACGTGCATGTAGTAAACAAAGTGGTAATATTGTCTCATCTCACCTGTCGTATTTCTCCCACTCCCCACGAATGACCTCGAATTGAATTGAATTGAATTGAATTGAAACAGTTTATTTAGCCAGAAAAACACAGATACAGAGTGGATAATAATAACAATATTAACATGGCTGAGCCAGTTGAGAACCTGAGCTCTCTCTTTTAGGCACCTGATATATACTATACATTTATCTCAAGGAAGTATTATGTAAGATTTATTATCATCTGGAATAGTACAATAGCATGGTGGTAATGAGAACATCTAATAATGTTACCACGGTTATCACTTCAATATTTATTATTTTTTTTTATTTATTATTTTTTTTAGTTTATCTTTTTTTAATTTATTTACATATACATAAATTACAGTGGAATTGAAAACATAAGTATAATGGGGGAGCAGGGGTTGTACAGTAATAAGGTTGAATAAGAGGACAGAGCTGTCAGGATTATGTCAATTCAATTCAATTTCAATTGTTTATTCCTTGATAGAGGAAGTGGGATCCTAGTGCTGTCACTTGGTACCCCTGTACAATAACACCAGAAGCATCTGGCAAGTGTGACAAGTATATCCCGTATAAATATTATATAGGGGCTTACTAAAGCCTAAGGAAGGAAGGATATTCCTTTAACACATAATCAATGCTATTTACATAATATCTGGCCAGTATGGGAGGATCATCGTATCTCCGTCAGGGGGTCGTGGAGTTATGGTCCAGCTGGCGTCACGGAAGCGTTGTGTGTGGGGGCATCTTAGGAGGTAGTGGATAAGGGTGCGGCTGTCGGGTCTTCTGCATAATGCACAATAGCGTTGCTCTGGGGATGCAGGGATACCAATCTCCCAAGCAAAGTCATACCCAATGATGATACGGGCAGCAATCACGTCCCCTTTCCACGACCCATTCCCATAGACAAACTAGAGATCAGGAAGCTTACGGAGGACATCGTACTAGGTTGGCGGGGAGTCCAGGGGGATGGCTGCTTCCTGAGGTTCTCTGTGTTTGCGGCGAATTTGAGTCCTAACCTGTAAAAGTGTTCGAGGAACAACGTAGTCACGTGTGGCCTTGTTGCAGCCAGTCTTGGCAAGGCCATCTGCTGCCTCATTCCCCAAGTTTGATAGGTTCAGGGGCATCAGGACGGGAGATGTAGACACCAGCCCCGGCCCGACCTGCAGCGGGGTCAACAGAACCACCAGTGTAGAGGACGACCCTACCTGGGGACCAGTGGGCGATCCTGGAGAGGTGGTATTTGCAGAGAATAACAGGGTTCACGTGGGATTTCGGGAGCGGTCCACCGAGGGCAATCACTTCAGGTTGAAAATCCAGCCAGGGAGAAGGAGACGAACCAACAGCAGGGGTGACAACAATATCAGGCAGGAGGTCGTGTTCCTGAAGGGCTCGGATGAGTGACCCTCGCCACTGTCTTCTAGATGGAGGTCGGCCTCGGACAGCAGGAGACAAGTTGGCTTGGACAGTTGCCCCGAGGATCCCGTAGAAAGGAAACGGCAGTTTTTAGGTAAAACTCCTGGACACGATCCTGTAAGGGGAAAGACCAAGTTCGGTATATAGAGAAGTAGAGCGTGTCCACTGAGGAGCCCCAAGGATGATACGAGCAGCTTTCCTCTGGATAACTTCGAGACGGTTGACAGCAGTCTGACTAATGTTGACGAGGGTAGGGGCGGCGTAGTCGACACAGGAACTGACAAAGGACTTGTACATGGTCAGAAGTACAGGGATGGTGGCACCAAGGGAACCCCTGCACATGGTAGAGAGGGGAGCGAGACGCCGAAAGCATGTGTCTCGAAGATAGCGGACTTCAGGGATCTGACAACGTGTGCGAGTTACATACACACCCAGGTATTTTGTCTCATTAACCAAGTCCAAGGGCGTTCCTGATAAGAGAAGGGGTGTAGGTACAACACGACCGTGCCACATGGCTTTTGTTTTCGCAGTTGAAAGAAGGAAACCAAGTGAATCACACTCTCTAGAGACCAGATCAAGGGCTTACTGCATGCTGAGGTATTCAGGGGCTTGGAGGAGGACATCGTCGGCATATCCTGAGTGGACAACTTCTGTCGGCCACAGGAGAGATGCAATGGAGTACATGAGAGTGTTAAACATGGTGGGACTCAGGACTCCACCTTGAGGGGTGCCGAGGTTCATTTCTTGAACAGGAGATATAGAGCCTTCACCGCGAACCCGGGCCTGACGTCCTATGAGGAATGAGGCGATCCATTGAAGAAGTCTCCCTTTAACCCCTAACCGCGCAAGTTCAGCTATAATGAGGGCAGGCTGAGCCGTATTAAAGACTCCCTTGATATCAAGGAAGACGGAGACGCGGGCAGTCTGATTGCAATAAAAGGAATCAATGGAGTGTGCTGTGCTTCGATGTTGTATGGAACCATTGACGGAGTTGTGGAAGCCGCCTATGGTGTGAAAAAGGCGACGATGGAGTATCCTCTCCATCATCTTGCAAACACAGGAGGTAAGACTAATGGTTCGATATTTCCCAGGATCTCCCGTCTTAGGGATGGGGATAATAGTGGCATATCCCAGTTAGACGGGAGAACCCCATGTTCATAAGACATATTGTAGAGAGAAAGCAAAGGGCCGTTAGGAATATTAGTACAGGCGTTGAGGACGGATTAGGTTATCTGATCATCCCCAGGAGAGGTGTTTTTTCTAGAGTGACGAGCACTGTCAAGCTCGAACTGTGTGATGGGATGATCAGTGGGGGGCAGGGGAGGTAAGAGCAACACGAACAACAGGCTCAGACACATCGATGCGAGCCTGCTCTGCCTCCTGCATTGGATCTGGAAGTGCCTCAGGGGAGGAAGGTCATGCCCAGTCCTTCATGACAGAGCATGCAAGGGAGGCGGGGTCAGGGTGGGAAGGAGGCCTCCGTCGAGTACCCCGTATAGCATTAATCCGATTCCATACATAAGAGGGTGACGACTGGAACGATAGAGACCCCGTGAAGTTTAGCCAGTCCGCCTCACGATTCCGACGACGCTCCTGAGTTGCAAAGGAGCACCAATTTTTGAAGTCTTCCCAGTCCTCTGGAGAGCGAGACCTCCGTATGGCAGAGTGGAGATAACGGGTTACCTGCCGGAGATGTCTTATGGCAGGGATACGATACCAGTAGTTGGTGGCACTTCTGGGGTGACGGGGAGGGCGTGGAGAGGTAGCGCGATTGACAGAGTCATACACACATCAACAAAATCAGCGCTATAAGAGTCAAGGGACTGAGGGACAACATAGGAATCCGCCCAGGTAGAAAGGTAAAGGAAGGAACAGCATCTTGTGTGAAACGAAGGCGAGGGGATCGATAAGGAGCTGATGTGGGGGCAGAGAAGTAGAGCCTGAGATGTGTAGTAACGGCAAGATGGTCACTATACAGATCAGGTTTGGTGCAGACGGTAGGATAAAAGGAGGTATGACCGTTCAATAGTAACCCAACATCAAGGAAACTATGGGGGAGGCGAGTAGGATCGTCAGGACAAAGAAAGCGAACATCATCATCCCCATTAAGAAACTGTGAGAGATGTTATCCGTTAAGAGTACATGGCGTGGGATGATCCTGAGTAAGAGTGGGATGGCGGGCATTAAAGTCGCCAACAACAATAATGGGAACCCCATCATGGAGGTTCGTGAAGAACCTGGGGGTCCAGAGAATCACTCTTGAAAGGAACATTGACTACACGAAGGGTCCAGTCACCAAGAGTAAGGGAGACAGAAAGTAATTCAGACGGGGGTCAATGTGAGTCAGGTGAAGAGAGACGGACAGATGGAATGGTGTTACGCACAAGGGTGAGGAGGCCATGAGCCTGCCCACGGTACCGAGGCAGGGTGTAAACAGTATAGCCAGAGAGGCGGAGTGGAGTAACATCGTCTGTGATGGTTTCCTGAAGTAGAGCAACATCTACTTGATGAGAGAGCACAAACTGGGCGAGGTCTGTCCGGTGAGGTATAAGTCCCTGGATGTTCCATTGTAAAAAGAGGAGGGAAAGGCCTCCGGTGTGAGATGAGTCGGTGGGCCTAGACAGGGCTCCAAAGTAGGTACCAAATTCTGTTAAGAAAAATGGAGAGGGAGGAGTGTGAGAGCGAGGGATGGATCCTCCATCTCGGGAGATGGAAGGAGGCGGGTCATCGGGGCTTGCAAAGTGCGCCCCTGTTGGGTCAGGGTGTCCAGAATGAGTTTTTGTTGCCTCTGCAATGTCGCAATTGTTTTCACAAACAAGTCGAGTTGGGCAGAGACTACAGGTAGGTTGATTTGCTTGGAGTGGCTATTCAGACGGAGAGTGATTG